TCAGAATAATGGCTAGAATTCAAAATGAAGTCACAGAACCCCATTTATAAGTAGAGGAAGGGGTGTCACTAAGCCAGCTTCCCACTAAGCCAGCTCCATATCCAGCTGGAAAACCCAACTGAATGGACCAACCATTGAGCAGAGTATTGGGGATCCCAATCAGTATTATGAACAGTACTCATCAGGTGGCTTTGAAATTTTTACAGATTCATTCTAGAGCAGGGGTAGTCAATATTGGCTCTTTTATGACTCGTGGACTTCAACTCCCAGAATTCCTGAGCCAGCTAAGAATTCCTGAGCTAAGCTGGCTCAGGAATTCTGGGAGTTGAAGTCCACGAGTCATAAAAGAGCCAAGGTTGACTACCCCTGTTCTAGAACAAGGGTCCCCAACCCCTGAGCCATTAGGAACTGGGCCACACAAGCGGCAGGCGAGTGAGCAAAGCTTCATCTGCACATGCGTGGGATCTAGGTTGCACTTGAAACCAATCCCCACTCCTGGTTCGTGGAAGACTATTTTTTTTTCCAAATCTGGTCCCTGGTGCCAAAAGGTTGGGGACCACTGCTCTAGAGCATTCTTCAGTGGGATCTGTATTGATTTTATTCTTACCTTTGAGATGCTTAGAAGACAAAATATATTCATGCAACATAAGATTAATCTTGAGAGAAAGCGGGCATAGTAAATTAGTTGTGGAAAAGGATCCTTCAAGAAAGTCGCAATCTAGCATTGTATTTCAACTGATGGATGTCTTTTTCATACTGTGTTTCAGAGCCACAGACAGCCAGCATTGAAGAGATACAGCAGATGAAAACTTTTGGGAAAGTCTTGAAAAAGCAAGAAAAGGAACTGAAGGAGCTGGAGCGGAAGATGACAAAGCGCAAGGAAGAACTACTACAGAAATACACCACTTTTTTCACTGAGGTGGTTAGCCAACTTGGCAGAAAAGAAATGCCATGCCCACCAAGAACTCCACGAAGAAAAAGGTAGACTTTAGTTCAGAAATAGGCAAACGAAGAGTTTCTTATTTGCAATCCTATTAAAACTGTGTTTTGATACATTACAATCTTGTCTTTCTGCCATCTTGGCAACACATCATAGGGCTCCCTGGTGGTTCCCCATCCAGACCTTAGACCAGTTTGGCTCTGCTTAACCTATTAGCATGCTAAATGGATTATAACTAACTGATAATGGTATGCTAAAGCAGAGATCATGCCACTTATCTGTGTTTTCACTGTACCTGCCCCTGGGTATATGCTGAGCCAAGCAAGAGAGCCAAAGGAATAAAATTCAATCACCAGACTTGTGATTGCCTGAAACAGAATTCTCTAGGCATATTTTTCTTCCTATTTCCCCATGTTCCACCTTCCTGGCCTGTAGTTCTTCCAACAATACAGTCCAGAATTTCTTGCTAGTATTGTAAAACTGGATCAGCTCCATCTGCTTTTATCCTATCCACAGTCTATATAATAGACTACAGTCTGGGCAGTGTTTGCCATTTCAGCAACTTTAAGATATGTTCTTAAAGATTCTAAAGTTGCTGAGATTGAGAAACTGAGGTAGGGAAAAGAAAACCATTGCTTCCCCTCAGAAAAAAATAGGCACAAATAAGAGTGTTTCACTGTACATACATGCAATTCCTATGTCCCCTAATTCCACAATAATTAAGTTTTTACTTTTCCAATATTTGGGGGGGGGGATATCTGAATGGCTACTTAAAAGACAAATGAATTTCTGCATTGCCAAAAGTAGGTACTTTCTCATGTTTAAATAGCAGTTCTGGTGCATTTCCTGAAGTATAATATTCATGTCATAAACATTCAGTATATGAAAGGACACTATCCAAACAATGTGGGTGTTATGCTTTTCTAGTGCAGAGATTTGGTAGAAATTGGCATATGTGGTTATATGTGTTAATATGGTGGTAATGTTAGTGCTAGAAAAGGGTGTGGGAAGCAGCCCTTTAATCAAACTGGTTTGTTCCCAGTGCTATTCAAACGTGCCAAACAAGAGTGCTATGAAATAGAAGGAGAACAGGCATTACACAGTTCCAGACACCAGAGAGAATTAAAAGAATATATATATAATCTTTACTTTCTGAAGTGGCAAGTTCAGAGTAAGAAATTCCAGATTTCTCTGACATAAAAATAAGAGTTTGAACTCCACCCAAGCTGCTGAATTGCAGTTGTTTTGTCCTTTTGTCAAATAGTGCCTGTCTATTGAGGAAGCAGATAAAAAAACTGTGGAGTCTTACTAATGATTCTTTCATTTACTGATCTGATCATATCCCAGGTTAAAAGGGGAGTACAGTCAGGGACTGGCCACTTCTGCCTTAGACTGAGAATTGTTGCTGTCTCTAAAGTTGCAGGATTGTTTTGGATGAAAGCAGCATGAAGGTAAATGTTGCAGAGTTGACTGAGAATGCTGATAATAAAAGGATAGAGCTAAAAGAGAAGTTGGAGGAAGAACTACTCCACCTGGGAGAAGAACAGTATGACACAATCTGGAAGAAGAAAGATCAGCATGCCACAGAGGTATAGTAACCATATTTCTATTAGCATTCCTTTATATAGTAGTAGTAGTAGTAGTAATAATAATAATAATAATAATAATAATAATAATAATAATAATAATAATAATAATAATAATAATAATAATAATAATAATAATAATAATAATAATAATAAAGTTGGAAGGGACCTTGGAGGTCATCGAGTCCAACCCCCTGCTCAGGCAGGAAACCCTACACCATTTCGGACAGATGGCTGTCCAGTCTCTTCTTAAAAACTTCCAGTGTTGGAGCATTCACCGCTTATTACCTTTTTTATATATATTTTATTAATTTTCTAATTTTACAATCATGAATACTTAATAAACAACGTGTTGTCTGGGTCCATTGGTAATTCAGTGGTATGTATTAACTTTCTCAGTTCTAGTTCCATCCAGTGCTTCCTTGATCCTCTCTTCTTCCAGTGATATGCATTTTTCTACACTGGGAAATACAATTCTTGTTACTGTTAATACATATACAATTAAATATAGACATCTTCTTCGCATTTTTCTGGTATTATACATAATATCGATAGTGTTCGTTTATAATATCTTTTCTAGCCAAAACATATCTCAGTTGCATTTTCACTTAAAATCCATTTGTTCAATCAATATCCTATTTTTCCCATCAATGTTCAAAATATCTCTTATCACTTATAATTTTCTCATAATAAATTATATTTGGGTAACCAATGGCTTCCCTTATTCAAATCCTTTTAGAATTTTCATATTTCCCATCTCATAACAAAGTATAATATTCTAGTTATAAATCCTATCCTTCTAATTATAATAATACTTTTATTTCTAACAGTTATCTATTTTCTTAACCATATTCAAACATCCGTTTAATAGTATAATATCTCATCTAATAGGTCAAAACCTCTATTTTCTTCAGTCTTACTCTAGCTTTCTTCCTTTGCCAACTAACTTTCCAAGTCAGTGCATTTGAATCATCAAGTAATTCTTTCTCTGTTTGTGTATATATTGTATATATCTGTATTAATTCCAAATTGATCTTGTAGTTTTCTCTATTTTCCCCCAAAGCAATTAATTTGCCGCTTTTCTTTTCCTTAGGGAGCGGGGCAAAAACTTCCCTTCCTTCTCTCATCGGGGTGGATTCTTTGCTTCGGGCATTCTTTTTTCCAGGAGAGTAGTATTAAGGTCATAAAAAAAGGATAAAGTCTCACCCAGTTCCATCCACATTGCTCAAAAATTGCTAATTAGTGCTTATCTTCGGTTGTCAGCAGTTTCTGACTGGCCACACGAATGTAGCTAGTCTTTCCCCTGCCAGTTTGGAGGGCGACTTTCAAGTCTTTTTAGGGTCCCAAGTGGGGCGAAATCGAACATGGAAGATCTTCCTGCATCTGTAATACCGCAACGCATAACCGGAAGCCCTTTTAATTACTTATTACTAAAGAGTACTAATGAACCTGAACCATTTCATTAAGACTGCATTATATACATGCTAAGCTTGTCAGGTGCCTTTAATCCCAACATCAAAAGTGCTATCTGAATTTGCATTGTTGTTTTGGGGGGAAAGGTTATACGTATGTGCATATGGCTTCCTTATATTACCAAAATGATATTTCATCATATTTCTGGGCAATTCTCAAGAAAATTCCTTGGCAATTCTCAAGAAAATTTATCATTTGAGAGTGATGCTACTGTATAATACAAACACAGCTTTGGAAACATCTGGAGCCATTGGATAAATCACTTGCTGTGTGGTTTCCAAGGCAGGAAAGTTGCTCTTTCTTCTTTCTTATGTTTTCCTTATTTGGTTTTCCCATTGTGATTCTCCTAGGCCCATAGCAAACCTGCTTCAAATGATTGGAATGATGTGGGAAGTGGTAGAAAACATTTCAAGGAGGATCAATGCTTCTGTATGAGCCTCTATTGAATCTGAATCCCTTCTGTGGAAAGGATCCTCCTAGTTCCAACTCAGGATCATGTCTATGGAGATTGTCAGTCATCCAGGTCATTATGTTTGCCACAATGTAAAAAAGATGTTAAGACTCTAGAAAGAGTACAGAGAAGAGCAACAGAGATGATCAGGGGACTGGAGGCTAAAACATATAAGGAACGGTTGCTGGAATTGGGTATGTCTAGTTTAACGAAGAGAAGGACGAGGGGGGACATGATAGCAGTGTTCCAATGTCTCAGGGATTGCCACAAAGAAGAGGGAGTCAAGCTATTCTCCAAAGCACCTGAAGGCAGGACAAGAAGCAATGGATGGAAACTAACCAAAGAGAGAAGCAACCTAGAACTATGAAGAAATTTCCTGACAGTTAGAATAATTAATCAGTGGAACAATTTGCCTCCAGAAGTTGTGGGTTTTCCAACACTGCACATTTGTAAGAAGAGATTGGACAACCATTTGTCTGAAATGGTATAGGCAGTGGTGGGATTCAAATATGTGAACGACCAGTTCTCTGTGTGGATGCCGCTTCCGGAAGTCCATTCTGGGCCTGGGCAACAAAAAATTAGCTACCGGTTCTGCTGAACTGGTGCGAACTGGCCGAATCCCACCACTGAGTATAGGGTTTCCTGCCTGAGCAGGGGGTTGGACTAGATGACCTCCAAGGTCCCTTCCAACTTTATTATTATTATTATTATTAAAATATTTTCCTTGTGCTCTGTTTAAACAGAAAGTTGCTAAAATGTTACAGCTTGCAAGAGAGAAGCAAGCGACTGAGCTGAAGGCACTAAAGGAGTCTTGGGAAAGGTAATTATAAAATTAATGTTCGTGTATGCAGAACTTTTCAATTCATTGTTGTAGCTTTTCTTCTCTCAGCCTTATTTTGCTTGTCCATTGTTAAATCTGTGCTTTATAACCTTGAAACCTTCTGTGACCTGAGTAGAAAAGGAGCGAGTTTTTAAAATTAATCACAATGCACTGTTGTTAAATTTGTAAACTCGAGTTGATTATCTTCCTCTACAGCGACACTAAAGAAATGAAAAAGAAATTAGAGGTGAAGAGACTGGACAAAATCCAAGCCGTGGCTAAGAATGCTGATAAGAGTGCTCAGGAAAGGTATTTTTGACTCACACCCAACTGTAGCTTATTTCTGTTGGATTTTGGTTTTTCATGAAAAAGAAATTTTTTAAATAATGCATAGGTTGCTGTACTATGTACTGTACTGAATTAATGTTTGAACCTAATTTTAATATAGTCTTGTCCACTTTCTGCAGCAAGACTTCCAGCATATGAAGCTGGAAAATCAAGCATGACTCTTCACAAAACCAAGCATGACTCTCCACGTGAAAAATGGTTTGCACACTCCTGATTTGGAGCCAGTGGCTGTTTGGCAGATCTTTTCAGTGTGACAAAGAAGCCATTCTCCTCACTCGAGAACTTAAAACTTAAGAAACGCAGGGAGGTTTAGTCATCCCTTTAAAACATAGTTACCATGACCTGTCTCATTCTGCAAGCTGCAAGATGATTGGAAGCATTTATTTCTAGTTTTGGTTAATTGTAATTTATTGTGCCTGACAAGTAACGGGGATGTCTGCAGGTATGAGGGATTGTACGTGTAAAAACAATCAAGATTTTAGTCAAGCCTTCACATCTCCTCTCCAGCCTACTTATGAATGAAGATGGCTTCCATGTTTTCATTAGTCCTAGTTGAGTATGATTTTAACATAAGCAACCTTGATAACCTATGACGAAGCTGGATCGTTTGATGAGATGGAGGAGAGGAGAGGAGAAGGAATGCAAGCCCAAAGCTTCTTACAGTAATTATACCTGGCAGATTCAAAATCTCTTCTTTCTTTACCTTAGCTTCTTCACTTCAGTCAGTCTGCTTAATTAACCAGTACTTTAGTCTGAGGGCAGGGCTTTTTTTTGTCATAGAACACCCAGAATGGAGTTCTGGCACCTTTTTGGGATGGAACCTTATAGGGTAGGCAAGGCGGGTTGTATGACGTGTGAGTTTTGGCACCTTTTTTTTTTTTTTTTACAAAAAAAGCACTGTCTGAGGGGTTTATTTTGACATGTCCTCAGAAAATAATAAGTAGCCCATCTTATGGATGAACCTGCAGTCTGTAAGGCTCAAGCGATTAGTATAATTTAGGTAGCCCTAGATCAGTGGTTCTCAACCTTTTTAATGCCGCGACCCCAACCAGTCGTAAGTCGAGGACTAAACCGGTCGTAAGTCGAGGACTAAACCGGTCGTAAGTCGAGGACTAAACTGGTCATAAGTCGAGGACTACCCAACCGGTCGTAAGTCGAGGACTTTCCCTGCCCGGGAGTGCCGCGCATGCGTGGTTCCACCCCCTGCGCTGGCCGAGGCGTAGCTGGCAAGCGGCAGAGATGGAGCAGGCCGACCACCAGCTGGCCCAGCCCAAGGGAGGTAAGGCACCCGCCAGAAAAGGGGGAAATAATGGCGGACAAAAAAAATGGCGGACAAAAGAAATGGCGGACAGCCTTGCTTGGCGACCCCCGTGAAATGGTCGATCGACCCCAAATGGGGTCCCGACCCACAGGTTGAGAACCACTGCCCTAGATTAAAGTTTGTAGGATGCTTCTTTCTAATACAGTTTCTTTTGCAGACAAAACTAATTTTTCTATACCGAAATTCTTTCTGCTTTTAAGTGATTACATATGGCATGAAAACATTTTATCTAGATAATGCCTTAACCACAATCTAAGCTGTAAATTTTAACTAATACATAAGATTTGGTTTGTTTTTTCCTAAAGGTTAAAAAGAGAAATCAATAATTCACATATTCAGGAAGTTGTAAAAGCAGTCAAGCAGGTAAGTGTCTTTCTGGATTCTTTCTGTAGCATCTAAAAGAACAACTATTAGGTCTGCCCTACTCACTTGTGCAAATGCTGTGCCCAGTGATTTACAAATGCTTCCTTCTTCCAAGGAAGACACTTGATTCTAATCCAGATGTAGGGACTCAAACGAATGGGGCTGCCTCAGCTTTACACAGACCCCTAGAAGAAGGAAAAAAACTTGCATTCTGACCTCATTTAGTAGATTGTATATATTTCACTTCTCTGTTTTGAAATATTTCCATAGCTACATTCCCACTGCAGTATTTTGTATGGTGCCTGGAATAGCTTCAGTGGCCTTAGTATCCATTTCATCTTTTGTCTGTGATTAGTGTGGGCATTAAAACACACTGAAGTTTTCAAATTTTAGACATTTATCCATCTGGGATCCTGGATGACGTATAACGGAGACAAGTGTAATTATTCATTATAAACAGAATAAACAAATTGGAAGTAGATTAAAGTCATAACATGAAGAAACAAAAAAAGAGTAAATAAGTATGTTTATTTTAATTAAACATATTTCCATCTGAACAATGTAACTAAATACTAAGGCCATTAAGGTCATGTAGAAATGTCATAAATAAATGAATAAATAAACTTTCATAGGGCAGAATTTTAATTCACTGATGTTATTTTCACAACATAATCTAATTCATAGAGTTATTTGAGATCCCTGAGTGAATAATTCCACAGAAGTAAGTACGTGAGGAAAGTCATTATGATTTTCAAATTGGAACAGAAGCAGTTGACCGTTTGCCCCTCCCCTTTGCTTAGTTGGGCAATCATAGAATGTTTCTCACCACCTTAAGACATTCCAAATGATCACCTGTGCATGAGTCAAACTGCTGTCAGGTCAGCTGTCTAGGGTGACTACTCATAATGTCCTACACAGGGAAGAATAAAATTGGAATCAAAGTGTCATGAAACTAAGAAAAAAGACACTGAAGCATTCCTCCTTATTGCCTATGACTCAGCGTCTAAATCTCAGAAGTTGTTGGTTTCAACATTGATGTATAGCAAAGCATTCTAGTACAGGTAGTCCTTGACTTACAACAGTTTTTAGTAACCATTCAAAGTTACAATGGCACTGAAAAAAGTGACTTATGACCATTTTTTACACTTATGACCATTCCAGCATCCCCATGGCCATGTGGTTTACATTTGGATGCTTGACAATTGATTCATATTTATGATGGTTACTGTTGTGTCCTGGGCCTGTTGAGGAAACTCAGCAGGCCCAGAAAAGGTTGCAAATGGTCCCGGGGATTGTAAAACCTGCCCGGGACCAGACTAAGCGGTGCCAGCCTTGCGCACATGCGCAAGGTGCGAAAACGCTGCCTTCCTATTGGTTAGCACTAGCTGGGTTCCTCACCCTATAAAAGGCCTGCGAGCCTTTTGCTCTTTGCTTGGAGTTGGAGAAGGAGAATAAAGAGCTATTGTTTACACAATGCGTCGTCAATTGCTTGCGAACCGCAAACACAACAGTTACAATGTCCCAGGACCTTCTGACAAGCAAAGTCAATGGCGAAGTCAGATTTACTTAACAACCATGTTGTTAACAACTGAAGTGGTGATTCACTTAACAAACTTGGCAAGAAAGGTCGTAAAATGGGGCAAAACTCACTTAACAAATTTCTCACTTATGAACATAAATTTTGGGCTCAATTGTGGTCAGAAGTTGAGGACTACCTGTAAAAAAAGCAGCTGTCATTTGCCTGATATTTATAAAAATCATACTTGGATATGGGACTATTAGAGGATGAGGAGGAACTGGGAGCTAAAATACCCTGCAGACTTCATCACTGGTATTGTTTTATCTACAGAATGATACTGCATTGACATTTATATAATTGCATGGGAGGTTATTCCTTCTAACATAAATGTTTCTCTTGCTTCAAGATGAATGAGAAACAGTCAAGGCATCAACAGGTCTTAGAAGCAAAGCAGTCAACCTGCCTTGGAAAAATCAAGGAAAAAGAAAGCCAGGTATTGCGTGACTAATTTACAAAAAATGTCCTTTCAGGATTAGTGGTATAGCAGAAGGTCCAAAGGCTTCACAAATTACTTCCCTTCAGAAGTACTGGAATTGCAACTTCTAGCACAGCTCAATTAGCATGGCCAAACCTGACATCTCAACACAAATGGAAGATTGGGGAAGGCTGAGGCAGCCTATTCCCTGCCCTCCAGTCCTCTACTTATTAAGCAGCATCTATGCCATAGAGCAATGATGGCGAACCTTTTAGAGACCGAGTGCCCAAACTGCAACCTAAAACCCACTTATGCATCGTCGGGTGCCGGGTGGGTGTGGCCATTGGGTAGGTGTGGCCCATTGGGTGGGCGTGGCTGCGGTGGTAACAGCAGACTGGGTGAGACTAAAAAGTTCAATCAATCAATTTCAATTTTGCAAGATCTTTTTTTTTCCCGCGAGAAGTTGAAATTGACTGATTGATTGAACCTTTTTTTTTGTACATGGCGGCGGAGGCCTAGAGCAAAAAGGTTTTATAAAACCCAGCTGAAGGCCTAGGACTGGGGCGACGGCGCGCATACCCACAGAGAGGGCTCTGAGATTGCATTCACCTATTTAAGATTCATCCATGAAATCCTATTTGTTCTGAGCCTCTAAGATAGCAAGAATAAACAAACTGCTTAGGCTTACTTGAATAGGATTTTTTTCTTCTTCTTTTAATCGGAAGGCAGTTTTGTTTGGGACTGGTGTACAGCGCATGAGGAAAAGAGGTTGAACCTTTCATTCCCTCCATGTTAGCAAGGTGGCGTTCCCTATCATAGGCCCCAGTGGGAATTATCTTCTCCCGACATCTATAATTACAGCAGAGGAATGGAAAAAGTAATTTACCACAGGGATCTTGTCCTTGGAGAAGAGTATTTTTTTTAAAGTTGGCATTGCTAAAAGACTCATAGCTGAATTTGTAAACATGCAGCAAACAGATTGCTCCATTGTGAACTTCTCCTGTCTCTTTCTGCAGCTCCAGCAGGAAGCATTTGCCGAGTATGAAAACAAGATGAAAACTATCAGCGCAGAAGTGCAAGATTTAGTGAAGAACTGCATGAAAGTCTGTTACCCTTTGGAAGCTGAAACAGCAAAGAGAGAGGCCCCTGGAGCTGCCGGTGAGGGAGATCAAGGGCCATGTGGGAACCTGGTGACCCCCGAGACTCTAAGATATGCAACTGAGGTGGTGAAGGAGGATGCCATCATGGATGAAGAATCCACTGATGCCCAGGACAGCAGATTGTAAGACTCAGTGGAAGTCTTATTTTAAAGTTCTTATATATTAAAAATAAATCTCACTTTGTTTCAGAGCTCCCTAGAACATAATGGAATATCTGTTACTGTTACCCAACATTTCTGAATAGTAGGACATTTTGATCTGGCAGACTTACATCAGAGGTTTTCACTCTATTTAGATTTACCACTGAAATCCAACACCAACAGATATTGCCTACTACTATCACAACGTAGAATGAGTTTTATTGGGTGGATTTGAACAACAGCCAGCTAGTTAAGCTTTTGAACTCTCCATCTGGACAAACTAATCTTGCTCTGAAGCAGTTTCAAGTCCAAGCCAGAAATAACTGGCTCAGTTGTTAAATGGAAAATGTTGAAGGGGAAGGGGAAATCAAAAGGACAAGGCATCGATTATGGAGTGGAAGACACCACATATAGAGATGCCCACACTGATGTTTTGGCAGTTATAACCTTTCCCTTCAGAAGATTTTCCTACAGTACTGATAACACTCAGCTTATTCTATTTATCAAATTCTCTACATAATAAAGAGGGATCACTTCCAAAGTTTCACACGTTTTAGCTGATTGCAGAAAACAGCTATGTAGTCAGTTCTTTATGGCATTCAACAGACAACTGAAGCACCTTAGTAGTCCTAGCACAATGGAGGTCAACCACAATGCAGAGGAAATGTGTACTGTTTCCACTTATCTAAATTAAGCTTGATTGAAAAAGAAGATGTCTTCCCTGATCGGAGAGGACTCTTTTCCAGGTTTGACTGTTTTCTTAAACCACCTTTGTTGTGGGATATTAGCTGACTCAATATCTTATAGGGCAGGGATCTTCAAACTTGGCACACTGGCTGAGGAATTCTGGGAGTTGAAGTCCACAAGTCATAAAAGGGCCAAGTTTGAAGACCCCTGTTATAGGGGGACAGACAGTCAGCAGAAATAGTTCTCTTAATCTGAACAAATACAGCCAATTAACCTAAGTTGCTCTTCTTTACCCCATCTATACACACAAATTGCCTCACAGGTATCCTTTATCATAAAGTCTTTGTGACAAAATGCAGCAGCTGAACATTGTTTGCCATCCAATCATGTAATCACCCAGATACAGTACATATTCTCTCTGGCATTCTTATAAACCAGTTGGGAGAGATGGGTTTTACCTTTACACAGAGCAGTTTTCATGAGGGACAGTCAGGAGCTTACAGGCTGAGCTGGTTGCAGGAGAAGAGGTGGCTGACAAGCCAGGTTAGACACAGCAATTTTTAGCTGCTGCCAGTTTGTTTATCCCTGAATAGATTCAAGACCAGTGACATATTCCAGGATGATCCAGAGAAGACTGCTGTTCTAGAGTGGTCCAATGGATCACTACAGATATTGTGACAAGATATTCATCAGTAGGCTGTCTTGGCTTTTTTTCTGGCTGCTCTTAATTGTATGTCCAGTTTAGGAGGGTGAGGGAAAAATCAAACACTGAGATTTATTAGTCCTATCTTGCTTCTTTCAAGCTATGTAAGCAGGCCAGTCAGCTGTCTTTTTCCTTTGCAGATCTGTGGCCAGCAAAGGAACTATCTCAGCATTGCTGTCCCAATTGTGAAACAAATTAAAAAAAAATAGTCAAATCTACCAATAGAAATATATTTTACAAACCTGGCCACTCTCCAGTCTATCAAAGGAATAATTTGCAATGTGCACCAATATGCAAGATTTCACTATCATTTGTCATCTTTCACAAAACCAGTAGGCATCTGGGGAACTGCAGCTGAAATTACTGTCTAATAATAGATGTTTTGAGAAGATTGTGTTTTTCCATAAGAAATATATGGCCATTTTTCAGTTTATGGAATGGCAAAAATAACCTTTAAATTTGTGGGTGGGAGGGGGAGAGAGTCTGTATGCACATAAGGGGCCATCCACGTTGCAAATATGAAACAAGTGTGCAGTTTTGCAAACAGTAATACAAGATGGTTTTCAGTTTAGGGATAATTTCTTGATTAAAATAATATATGCAAATTCATTCAAGATTAATTAGTGCAGCCATAAATCTAACTTAGGAACTATCAGTGCCACTAGATCCTGGCCTCTGTGCAAAAGGACACAGGGCGATGTGTCTGGAGCAATTCAAATATCTGCAGAGAAAAGGCCACACCCTTGCTTTAAAAAAAGGAAAAAATCCAACTCTTAAGACACTTTCTGACTTGATTTTTACGGATCTCAGGTGAATTTTCTGAGAGTTCAAGGTGTTTAGAAAGCCATCTTACAACTGCTTTGCTAAGGAATACTCAAATACCAGATATCATCAGTAAGATTTCTTCATTTATAACATTTAAGAAAATATTGTACCACGAGAGGCCCCTGCTTAGTTTATGCCTATCTACCATCACATACTTAGCAAAGGTATGGTACCAGCCTGTTGAGTTTTTCCAGAGAAGCAATTTGAATGGAAAAAGGAAAGAAAATTATGCTAGCTGAACAAATTTGGAAGACAGATGGTAGCTGAAAAGGGGACACTGGGGCTTTCTTGCAGATTCTTAATTCTAGCAAGTCACTGGCCTTTCATAAAGTGTGAAACTGTCCCACCACCAACGTACAGCACATGCATGTATTTTTTTTAGTGTTTTATTTTTTAAATGGGAAGAGGGCTTTTAAAAGTACAGTTTGGAGACTGAAAAGAAGAGAAATATCTGCTTGACATACTGGTAGAAAGTATAACCAGCCTCATAATTGGCCATATTTCTAATAAGCCGGTCCATTTGTCGACCACAAAAAAGCTCAAATCTTGACGGGCTAAAATGAATTGATTGCAATACAAATGTTTCTAGATTGCCCATTTCTTCTAAAGCATTGTTTCTATCATCAGCTCTAGAAATATAAGGGATTAGAACTGGAAGATTCAAAGGAAGGAACAGTTTCCATACAATGTGCTTGAGAAAGGAAGAATCCACTCAATTAGAAATAATTCTGTCCCCTCATGAGACTCAGAAATAATTGGTAAGATGTTTGGAAATCCCATAATGTTATAAAAAATTAATTTGTCAACAAAATATGCCCTTTTTACAAATATATGCTTTTATTCCCCCCCAAAAATTAAAGCCTTAACAAGAATATTGAAATATTGCATCAAAGTGTATGTATATGCATGTATGCACAACTGCTCAATTACCCTCTAATTGCATGTGTGTGTGTGTGTGTGTGTGTGTGTGTAGGTCTTTGGTTATTCGGGTTTTCTCCCACGTAAAATTGGAAGTGTCTTGGCGACATTTCGATGAAGTCCCATTCATCATCTTCAGGCTGGTGTTTTCAGCTTCGTGCTTCTAGGAGTATGTATGTATGTATGTATGTGTGTGTGTGTGTGTGTGTGTTTGCATGTATAGGTATGTATGTATTGACTTACGACCACAATGGAGCCCAACATTTCAATTGCTAAGTTGTTAAGTGAATTTTTGCCCCATTTTATGACCTTTCTTGCCACAGTTAAGTGAATCACTGCAATTGTTAAGTTAGTACAGGTAGTTGAGTTATAACCGTAATTGATCCCCAAATTTATGTTGCTAAGTGAAACATTTGTTAAGTGAGTTTTGCCCCTTTTTATGACATGGTTGTTAAAGTGAATCTGGCTTCCCCACTGACTTTGCTTGCCAAAAGGTGACAAAAGGAAATCACTACAACTGTCATAAATATGAGTCAGTTGCCAAGCTTCTGAATTTTGATCACGTGACCCTGGGGATGCTGCAATGGTCGTAAGGGTGAAAAATGGTCACAAGTCTCTCTTTTAAGAGCTGTTGTAACTTTGAATGGTGTCTAGATGAACTATTGTAAGTTGATCTCTCTCTCTCTCTCTCTCTCTCTCTCTCTCTCTCTCTCTCTGTGTGTGTGTGTGTGTGTGTGTGTGTGTGTGTGTGATGGAATACATTTTTTATTTAAAGCAGTTATTTGGGTTTTTTAGTACTATATTAACCACTGCCTCCTTTTCCTCCGCCTATTAAATACCTGGACAGGAATTTATACCAGGTTACAAGCCTCCTGGAGAAAGAAAAGCATTCCCTGCTTTATGTGTTATTGGCAAACTTTCTTTTCTCTCTATGTAATTCCTACCATTCATAATTTCAAATTCTATACAGGAGCAGTGGGGAACTAGGGTTCTTCAAATACTGCTGGGGTAAGAGGTTTAAACAGCCAGCCAAACTGTGGAGAATGCCAAGGCTGTCGTTCAGCAACATGTTTCCCATCCCTTCAGTAATAGGTAGTAGGTAGGAAAAGAATATTGCTTTCATGAGCCATAATTAGTACTCCGTTGGGTTTCAAATGCGTTGAAGCAAGATAGGAACTTATTTAATTTTTTATCATCTGGGGATTGTCAGATCACATGGAAAATCAAGAACAAGAGACTAACCTCATCCCGGGAGGATAACAATAACAACAACTAGAATAATCATCACAACATAGCAAATGGTGGGTGGGAGGGGTTACCACTCTATGGCTGAATTAATAAACTATATTAGAATTTATTACAAAGTACTGGTTAAAATCAAAAGTATAGGTGTCATATGCTCTTCAACACTCAGTAAAGAAAGCAAACTGAAGTGTGTATGTCAGTATGAAAGACTTGTGAAGGCTAGGTCATTAAGTTGTTGATGTGAATTGCAAAGACGCAGCTGGCGTCAGTCTGTTATTTTATCACCACACTTAGGCATTTCGTCAGACTTATTGCAATATTCACGATGAAAGAAATAATCATGCAAATAATCAGAGAAGGATACGCTATAAAGGCCACTGTTACCAATTTATATTTAGAACCATCTGAGTGCTACCTGAAGTTGTGAAGCTATTATTTAATGGTGGCCTATAAAATATAAATAATTCCTATTGTGAATAATTAGAGGTCTGTAAAAGAGCATAGACATTTATCCACAAAACATTCAGAGGATCCTTTACTTTTGCCATCCTTTCTCTATGGTGATTAGTAAAATCTCCCTTGAGTCTTGGGATTCCCATGCAGTTATCTCTAGATGACTCATGGACAAAATCAGGCAAC